AACGACCACCATGTCTATTTTTAGTATGGTTTCAACTTTACAAGCTTCAACCACTAAAGACCGTTGACAACTAGAACAGAAATCACTGACATAATGACCATGAAGGAATGTCTATGTGGCTTGCAAAAATATGATAAATCAGGCCTGCCGCGTCATTTTAGTCGGACCATGGAACACCGTCGTCTTTTTATCTTTATGCTTTAAGCAAGGTCGTATCTTACCCGCTGATAAGCACCACGTGTTGATTTATTTTATAATGAATATTAGGCGACAAACAGTTCAAAATGTTGGGTGGGATCCAGGCTATTGCGCACCCTATGGTGTCTCGTCGTATGGTGACGAAATGTTTTCCAGTGAAATACCGTGCTCATGAAACTGACCAACAGCTACCCGATCAACAACTAATAAAGCTAGTTTTGATGCAAGATACAGCTGACTACAGTTCTAGTTTATGGTGCTCTTATTCGACTACGCACGCTCCGCCCCATGTTCTATTTAGCACAATACACCGGGTAGACGGAACATGCTACTCACAAAGTTGCTGAAAAAACATTGGTAGCCAAAGAACGCATTCGTTCTTCTTGAGGCCCATCTCCGAGTTTTTGTCAAATTTATGTTCTATTCGAACCCCAAATGGACGCAGTTCGTGAATAAACTTAGTTGGACACTAAGTTGAAGAAGAGCATCGAAAACTGCGCATATAGCTGAGTTCAATTGTGAAGCACACATATCTGAAATAAGCCGTCATTTTGCTAAAACCTACGACAGCTAATGGGGGATATCGGCACCTTATTGATAAAAAATAACTGATGCCATTGCTGATGGTTATGCCATCATACTCAAGGCGAACGATGAGTTCTCAGAGACCTCTGTGTGTGTTTTGCTGGCTATCCTATTCCATCGGGTCTACACCGGCCCCACAGACATATATTCAGTGGCAGCTTCGACTCAGCTCAGACCGTCTGTGCACAGATATCCGGTGGGTTGACTACTCCTGATCGATAAATCAGATTCGGATACCCCCTGTGTGGCCTAGGTGGTTTCTACCGACTTTCCGGTAAATCGCTCCTAGAAAAAGACGATAAAATGCAAAGTTTTGTCAACCAAATGCACCTCAACGTAAACACATGTTCATGAGGGAATCAACTTTTACTTCATACGTACCATCACCGTTGTGTGTGGGAGTTAATTTGAAGAATTTTCAATGGAAAGCAAACAGATAACATCACTGGTGAAAGGAAGAGGGCCTTTGCCACGGAGTTATTAGAAAACACCAAATGAACAGCTACAGACTATTGGACGGTGAAGCAAACCTCTCATATGCACCTTGTTTACAAAGCTGAATATCCATTTCTCCTTGAACGCGTCTTCCTTAACTTTCCTGGGTATTCATTAACTGTTACTCAAATGCAAGCAAATGCTACAAATCGACTCTTCTCTTTTCAAGAGAAGAGGAAGCGGATTTACGAGAAAACATACTACTCGCATTTCCATTCAATAGTATCTAACATTACACTGGTGCTACCACACGTGATGCTTCCTTCAAGGCATCTGCCTAACCTAATGATGTATAGGGCGACTATTTCTTTGGTATCCTTCGTTGAACGTTATTCTGTTTCGAGATATTTGCTTCTTGGCTGTCCGTTTTGTCACCATGCCAAGTAATAAACCCAAAGGAACTGACAAATCAGCGTTGATGTGTTGATCACCAGTAGAATGGTAAGTTTCTGCTTCGTATCCACAAAGGCAGGGTGATGAACTGTACAGTCTATGTTGGCGAATGAATAAACAATCATGACTGCTAAATAGGCGTAATGCACTACTCACAAGGTTGCTGAAAACTCTTCGACAGCTATCCATTTTACAACTCGCGACATGCAGTATTTTCTCCTGAAAATAAGGAGCCGTTTCCACAAAAATCACAGGATCATTTTGCAATAGGAAATATGTATAATGGTTAAAAACAATAGGGTTAAACTTGGCCACAGAGCCTCCTTGCTTAATATAAACTGACAAAAATTGGTTGACATATCAAACAGTTTTTGTCTCTCAGAGCTTCGTAAAATCGATTGCTCCAGCTGACCAGTGGTTTTTATTCAGCCTTTCAAGAAGCTTGGCAATTTTTCTGTCGACTAGTGGATAAAGTGACCCTCTGAAGAAGCGTGATCAACGGGCGAGAAGACAAATTAGAAACGGCAGTGCGTAATTGTATTAATTGAACCAGCACGACAGTCTTTTCACGATGTCTGAATAAATAATAACTTGATTCATTACGATTTCAGCACGATTTTAGTTGACTGGCTGGTTTGAAAAACCTGACATCCTGAATTTGTCAGTAGTGTGGTGGGGAGTTCGAAATTTTCATGAGATATTTCGTCCCATAAGTGAGAGCAACGTATGCCGAAAAGCCAAGTAGCACTGCACATCCGTTTTATCCCCATTGAGAACCATAATCATTTGGGTTTCATCATGAAATTGAGGCCAAGTCACGCAAAAAATCCGCGAAGAATGGTGTAGCTGTTCCATCCTTGATGGGCGTCAGCATAAGTGTGATTTCCACGGATCTCTAGAGAGATTAGAACCTGCGGCCTCCAGAAAAGAAGCCTAAATCATTCTACACTTACGATCATCATCATCATCATCATCGCGAGCTGTAGTAACCGCACACTCGTCATACAGTGGTTGTAGCTGCCGCAGTTTCGTTCATCGATGATTTGGGGAAGAGGGTAGGTGGCTGCGTATTGGAGGCAGGAGCTGATAAACCCAACATTGTCAGTGGGCTGTCAGGTGGGGGGATTGGGAAGGAAGCTAAGCATTGAAGGTAATAGCTTGGATGCACGAGCGCCATTGCGAGGTCGACTGGGCCATATTTGACAATGTCTCCAGTCATTGATGTGCGAGCTTGACTGGGCTATATTTGACAATGTCTCCAGTCATTGATGTGGCCCGTCTCGGGGTCCACATCCAGGAAGACGGCAGTGACCAGCGCAGCTGAGTTTGCTGGTAATTGCTTTCACACTTCGCTGCCAAGTAATTGTTTGACCGCCTCTGGCTCTCTTCCACCCTTCACATGGTTGTGCGAAAAGAGCTCTTCGAGGAAGTCGGTCGACTGGCATACGCAGCACGTGGCCAAGCCAGCGCAACCTATGTAGTGTGATCAGTTCATCCATCGAGGGTGAGTTATTTCTCCCGAATACCATTCGACGTACCATTCGATCCACCTACGATCAGGCAATACCGATCGACTAGTACGTAGATCGAGGGCAAGAAACTCCCCGGGGTTCTGTCGGACGCGCTGTACTGATTATTCCCAATGAAAGCGAAGCAGCTATACAATGTTGCTCTACTTTTCAGAATAGAATGGCTTCACTGATGAGACAAAATCGCAAGTGGAAATTCGGGGTTGAAATGGATTGAAAACTAAGCAGAGTAGCGACGGTCTTTTCGCGCACAGAATATTAGTCTACTATGGAAGACGTAACTTGACGTCAGTATACCATGCGAAGAATATAAAGTTGAACGGAAGTAATTCACTTAGTTTTGTCGTAACTGGAA